ACTGCATATACAAATTCGTATGCGACTGTGGAGACGGTTACATAGGCAGAACCAATCGGTCTTTGACTTCCCGAATAAAGGAACACGTGCCAAGGTGGGTTCAACGTGAAATTGACCAGCATCCCTGTCCCACTGAAGTTCCGTGCTTGCGCAGCCGCCAGCTTCCTCAATAGGTAAACACCTACTGACTACGCGTCACCGGATAGAGCTCGGATCAGCGTTCACACTTGTATTACGTCACCCTAATCCCCGATTCCTCCGTTTCGCCGAGGCCGTTGCGATAAGCCGAATGAAGCCGGCCCTGTTTGTTTAAAAGCAATTATTTATCAGCTTAAGACTGCCGTGGACATAGGGGTGGAACTTCCGTCATTCATTTTTCACCTCATGCTTATTCGATCACACGCATATTTAAGTATATAGTTGCATACTAGTTATTGTTAATGGTACTGAGCAGACAATACGAAATGCATGCATCTACCAGTTTTCGTCTTCTTACCGTGCTTTCAGAGATATATGGGTCTTTGGTTCTTTACAACAAATATTTGCTGCACAACACCGTCGTCTGCAGGGTGGCATCCTTAGAGACAGGACCTGGAGCACATGATTCCATAATAAACTAGCCTACAGACCAATGTAGATTGATATGACCATTTCGGAAATGGGACTACAGTCACTGGGGACCAGCTTGAAACTGAACACCCGCATTTTCAACTCATCCTATAAAACCCCTAGGTGTTTCACATGGGGTAATTGATAACTCTGCTAATGTTATTTTGGATTATCCACAGCTTATGGCTCATGGACTGCGGCAGCAAACCACTGAGCACCGGATTGTATTCTGCGACCACCAGAGAAAGCCATGATATTCCTGCTCTAAGCTAATCGAACTGAGCGAAAAATATTAGCTGTTTTCAAGACAGCACCATTATTAGCCTCTACCCGATCTCCATTGGAGAGGATACTGAAGCTGGATCGGTTTGATTTGTGGCATGTACTCTCACTGATGTGTGTGAATCTGAAGACAAACAGAATTATACATAGTACGGTTTAATGCAAAAGGAGGTACTCGAAGCAGCACAATTAGTTCAGCTTCAGTCTAGTCGCAGTAACCGAATTTATCCGACACCTAAGAGACCTACATATCGCCAAGTTTGGAGGCTATGTTCTGCCCGATTCGCATTTAACGACGCAGTGCGCAACATAGTTTTTTCAAGTAGCTCTTTGACTGGAACTAGAAATGTGCTTACCGAAAAATCAGCTACAGCCGAGGCTGCACCTAATTTTGATTGGTGGATGAAGACGAATACGAGGCAGCTTGCGATTGTTCTTCGCAGCCATTTTGAGGCTACTGTCCTGTGACGGGATTTGAACGGCTAGTTACGCTTCGGCGTTTGCGAGTTCGAATTATAAAGATCTGGATTTCCTCTTTATAGTAAAACTACTAATTATAGAGTCGACAAGATACTAGGGTCACACAGCGGTTTTCTGATTGGGAAGGAAACTGAACGTAACCATGTAGAACCAGCTAATTATTGACTGCTTCCGGTGATCTGCAGTTATTGAGTTTATTGTTGCTAAGACCCGCAAAAGGTACCTGCTGTGTGAGAAAAATCTCGTCCCAGAGAAACAAGGAGTTTTACAGAGCTGGTCATGCACCGCAACCCTGCAGATAAGTTGAGCTTGCTGGACCAATTCTGTCAATGTTAGTGTAGCAGTAAATACAGTCTATCTGAATTTCCAAAAGCTATTCGAGAGTCTTATTATCGCACTCCATTTCAAGTGCTTCCGAACTATGGAATCGGTGTCTCCCTCCTGAGCTGATGAAATAAACTTCCTCAGTTAACCGCTCTTTCATATGACGCCTCGTAGTGTAAGAAACCAAGTCGTGGAAATGTTGTGTCATGCCGAATATCGGAAATTTCACTTATATGCGGATTTTCTCCTGAAGGCTGCGTGTGGCAGGAAGTTTCTGTATCCAACTTTGGCACACATTTATCTGTGACTCCTAAACGACTTTGCTGCCTTTAGTACGCTATAGTCCGGTTTCTCTTGTATTGCTATGCTACTGTTTATTGGCGCAGTAGTATCTGCTTTTTGCTCTCCATCGTAGTGCCCTATCGAACCAGTCGAAGTATAGCGCGGCGTACTCCAAAGTCTGTATTCGGACCACTCCACTTCATCGTCTTTAGGAATTACCTCGAGAAATACGTCATGCTATCATTACGATTTCAAACTGGTCATTTCAGAATACCCTACCGCAAAATGTGGAAAAATGCCACACTGTTCAATTGCGCCATAGGCATGACTACGTGTATAGGTTTGGGTCACATGTATTGCAAACCACTTCCCAAGAACGCGATCTTAGTGTGCTCATGCAGTGACCTGAACTGTTCACCGCAGTCCAAGGCAGCTGTGAAGAAAGCCAACCAGCTTGTCGGCCTGCTGCTGGGAGCATACGGATGTTTCGACCTATCCATCTTTCCCATGATGCACAATTCTTACGTGCGCCGTCACCTTGAATACGCCATCCATGCTTAACAACCTTGGTTGAAGCTCGACTCTGAAGTGCTAGAGAAATCATAACGTAGGACTACAAAGAACGTCAAAGGCCTACGAAATATTTCCGACCATCAAAGGCTGAACTCACCGGGAGTTTTCAGTGGCCGTTACCAAAGGCGGCACGGCGATCTCATATTAGTCTACCGAATATTGAGTGACGTATGCCGTCACTTTCGGAAACTCAGCCATTCAACCATTGTCAGAGGTTACCCTCTGAAATTATGTGCGTAGTATCTCAGTCTGGAATGGCGACAGAATTATTTTTCTCTTCGGGTTTGCAACCCTGTAACTCTCTACCAAACTTAGTTGTTTCATCCCCCACTTTGGATATTTTCAAAAAACGATTGGATCTTGCCCTTGGCGCCCACCACTTCTTTGCCAATACTGTGCAACTTTGCAATATAATAATTATCCCTCCAAAGCGGATTAACATGTCACATAAGCCTGAGAGAGCGTATAGACGTGAGTATTCTCCTTTCTACGTATCTCAGGGAGTACAACAACTATAACTGTTCCCATTTTGTCTCGTTGTTCGCATTCACTTCCCATGTACACTACTGTTATTGGGCAACGTACCGTCTAGATCAACGCCCATACAGATAACTCACATATCTGTTGCTAATTGTATTTCTACCTCCATCATCCTGCGGGACTTGTCAAGCAACTGCTTTCTACCCAGTATAATTCATAGTTCCTTGTTCATTGTTCGGCCTCAGAAAGGTTTGCGTACGCTGGGTACCCCAACAGCTCAGTGAGCACTAGAAAGCAGCTCGTGTGAATTGGTACCGCACCATGCTTACTAGGTTTGATGGTGGAGGTTTTAATGCTGTTTGGGCGAGCCTCAGTGGTGATGAGACGTGGAGGTACGCTTTCTATCAGGAGACCAAGCAATAATCGGCTCAGTGGATGGCCGTTTGTAAGGGGCAACTCAGAAATTTCAGCATGTGCGCAGTACGGTCAAGCAGACGGTGGCTGTGTTCGTGGCCAAGACAGGTTATGTGATTAGTGTACCGCACAGTCATCACATGTCCCGGAAGTTGTAGCCAAGCATCGTCCAAGGACTCGAGCACGAGGTACCCTGTTGCACCATAACAAAACTCCTGCACACAGGTCCATATCGTCGTAGATTTTCTGACCAGAGAGGGCATCCAGGAGGTTGGTTACCCACCCAGCAGTACAGACCTGGCTCCGTGTGACCTTTGTGTTCCCAAGTGTCAAGCCCATGATGCGTGGAATCCGCTACCATTCTCCAGAAACTGCGGTGTTGGCCTTTGTTGAGCTGCTTGAAAGTTTACCCGCTTCGGCATGGTCTAGCTGTTTCTCCGAATGGGTTGAACACATAGAACTGTGTACGACCAAGGAAATGTAATGCTTGTTTTGTGTAAAAAATAGTGAAGTTTTGCGCATCCGGAAACTTATTGCTCCGCCCAGTTAAGTGTTGTATTTGCCCCTTTACATTGCCATTTAACGCAGTTGAGAGCTGAGGGCGGGGAATCAGTTTTCAGGCTCCACTTGTGGTACATGTTTAGTCTGGTGAAACTACTTGCTTGTTACCAGTAGTTAAGTGAAAATAAGCAGTGGAAACCAGTCGCCCTGGTCTATAGTTATTTGGTGAAAGCAGGCTAACAACACTGTGTGGACAGATCTACAGATGTGTCGATCATACTTTAGTACTTGTACTTACTTCGTTAATCATGATTTGCTTGTTGTGACCACCAGAAGCAGTGTTTCACTTGATTTTTGGTCGGAACGACACCCGTGTGTCCCTCATACGTACAAGTAAGTATTTTGTTTACCAATTGAGGTAACACTGAGGTAAACACCAAAGCACGCATCAGACAACCATTTATCACTGACAGTTCATCTCGAATTGCATAATATGGAATGAACCCACCGGGGTCTTTGTTGTTCTTTGGTCATCCCTGTTGCACATACTCGCTAAGTTGATGTAGTAACGGGATTTTGACATTTTCCACTCATAATCCCTCGATATCCGTGGCCCTTAGGTAGGAGCAAAGGCTGGCAACTAATACTGTCTCTCTGAGTCTCTCGTTGGCATTCTCCAGCCCAACGGGTAAGCGAGATAATCCATCATCAAGTTAGTTTCACAAACCCGATCGATACACAATTAGAAAAGGGGTTAAGGAGATTATCATACCAACTATCGATCCACATCGGAGGCGATCCATTAGATCCATTGCTAAGGAGGACTGTTAGGGTGGAGTGATCATTTCGTAGTGAAACGACGACCAAACAGGAAAAGAAGCTTTCATAAGCCCACACACATCAAGGGCTTCTTTCTCCCCAACAGAATAATGATGCTCAGAATCTGAGAGTACCCGGGATACGTAAGAAATAACTTTTCCTCTCTATTTTGTAGCTATGACAGAACAGTTCCGAGACGAACATCAGACGCATCAGACCTGCTGCGATTTTTAGCGCTACGTCAGGGCTTGACTGTACCACTGCTCCAACAAACCAATGGTGGTTAAGTTGTGCGAAGTTGTAGGAGAATCTACATAATGAGATGATATATTGAAACAATACACTTTGTGTAAGTATGAATCTTCCGCACTAATACCACGTGTTGAATAAAGCAAACATTCGGTTCTTGAGCATAGAAATGAAAGCGCGTCAGTTAGGGGCTTGCAAAGCATTCTCGTTTGCCGTGAATTTGATGGTCAACCCATTGTTATATAAAATAAAAGAAATTCGCATATTTGCCGACAAGCGTTATACGACCTTCAAGCGGAACGGATCACTTATACACAGAAGCAGTCTTCTAATTTACGCGGCTTAAAAATAATAATAAAAAGCAGAGATGAGGAAATATTTCATGTCATGAATTTTCCATCGGTTCTCCGACCGAATCACTCAAAAGCAAATTGTAAGATTATATGCACCCATCTTTTAAATTTCCCAGGTAGTGATACTCGGGTGTAGTCAGAAGCAGAATAGGGGAGAGTACGGTTGCACGGGCACATGTTTACTATTATGAGTAGTTATAAAGAGAGGGTTATCTGACTGTGCCCTACTTGCTGCTCATGTGTTGTTTGGACCAGCTCCCGTCAATGTTACTGGTGAATGTTCTAAGCTAAGTGTCTTTAACGCATTCGGGATAGTGAGGAAGGTCTCTAGCTAATTTCGAAATGTGGTTTGGTTAGCACTCGTGCGTACTTTAGTGATAGTGGGTTCCACAGATTGGTATATCTCACTAAGAAATCAATCGAATTTTATGACATACAGGCTGTGAGGGTACCAAGTAGCCGTCATTACAGATGGGAAAGATGGCAGTTTTCCGTAGCTCGAGAGCGGTACTTTACGTGAAAATCCGCCTGTTCATACTGTTGAAGAGAAGAACATCGTTTCTCAATCGCCACAGTATGAGAGGATCCATTCGGAGGTGGCGGCAGCGATAATAGTAGTTCAGGGTTCAGCAGTGCACTATGACTCGCTTAGTAAGTGATCGTAGGACATTTTCCATAGATGCACTGCCTTTTTCTATTGGTTGTGAAAGATTGTGCAATACCCAATAGTCGGTCTCATTATTACTTTGAATAGCTCAAGTGGTGCTTCAGGTAGGTAGAAATTGCTTGTGGTGTAGCCGGACATTTGTCTGAATTTTGCAGCTTGGTAGAGTTCATGCTTAAAAAAATTGAAGGAGTTGGAATACTTAATTCCCAAACCCCAAAATGACTCAGAAGCTTGGAGCACAAAATGGGACGATATTGTTAGCAAAATTGCGTTTACACCAGTGAAGTCACTGAGGTATAAGTAGTACAAGCAGTAAATCCAAGGTACCTCCTTAAGAAATGACGGCAAATGGGATGATGGTTAAAAAATTGTATCATCTGCTGGTGCACATGTACAGGATGTTAGAAAGTGGGACGAAATCTAAGATTTGACCGTCAAAAACATCTGTTACAAACATTGTGTTTATCCATGGGTAGTCAGTCATGTAAGATGGTGCAGCGAAATAATTACACTGTCAACTCGGGCCTTAAACTCAGCCAGCGTGGGAGCACATATGCCAAATCTCGCTAGGGTATTTTACTTTCTGCAAACACTTACGGAAAAGAAATTCCGACTGCATTCCAAACGACTGTACTGCTCTGCCCGCTTGAGATAGTGGCCTCTCAAATCACTGTCGATTGATCAGGCCACTCTGTTGGACTCATTTTTGACTGAGCTCTAGTAAGTAGCGGCACGTGTGGTTGGGATCTCTCAAAATCTGGTAAGTCAAAATGAGGCCCCCACGCAATCACCGTTACCGTCCGCTGAAGGCCCCGAGCGCTTGAAGCCTTCCTTCATAAGGCAAATAATACAGTCCCTTAACATTCTTGGTTGCCAAGATTGGGGTATCTCCAGAGCGAGGCGATCTCACTTCAAACATGGCTGCTAGACCTGTATTGCGTATTCCACATGTGGAGGTATGTATGAGTCGAGAAGCTGGAAAAATCGAAAGGTCGAATCATCCAAATGTACCCTTCAGGATGCCCACGTGTTGGATGCGACGAATTGATGTCGTTTCAGCCTGATCTGAACATCCAAGATCGACTTGACACAAAACTCCTAGATTCTTCTCGCTAGCAGACGTTTGAAGCTCCTGGTTGCCGAGTTAGTGGGAATAAACTAGCTTGTTGCGTAAGTGCAGCACTCAACATTTGTCCACATTGAATCGAACTGACCACTCGTGTGCCCTGTTCAGATCTGATTAAGGTATTGTGATATCATCTGGTGTATTGAGCGCTCTCCACAGCTTGATATCCTTGACATAAAGCAAGCAGTTCGAGCTTATGAGCCGTGTAATATCGTTAATAGACGTATCGATCCTCGTGGAACTCCGCGTTTCACTCGAATGGAATCTAGCAGCGATTTACGCACTGATACTTCCAGGCGCCGGTGCAGTAGTAAGCTTCTGATCAATCCTAGGAAGTTCCCACCAATACCAAAGGTCTGGCGTATGACGAGCAGAATAATATGATCTAACCGGTTGAACACCTTTGAGAAGTCGAGAAAGACTACAACAACTCCTGGGCCAGTGTCTACAACTTCAGTCCAGCTGAATGGTGCTAGTAGTAGATTTGTAGTGCACGATCAATTTCGTCGTAAGCCACGCTGTTCCGGTGTGCGGTAGTTAAACACTTCCAAATAGGCCGTTAGCGCCTCAGAAATAATAGCTTTCATGACCTTTAATAGAACCGGTAGTAAGGTTATGGGACAGTAGTTGGCTGCATTGGAACAACTACCTCCTTTTTGAAAAGGAGTAATCTTCTCGTGTTTCCACATGTCAAGCAAGTCCATTTCGTCAAAACAATATTTGAATAATCTAGCCAAAAGCTCAGCTGTACCCTCTCCTACCTCCGCTAGCGATTTCGTGTGGATATTAACAACTCCATGGGCGCTGTACTTCCGCACACTCAACAGCTTTTTAGTACAGCTTCTGCTGTGAAGGATTTGTGAGTGAGTTTTGGGGGTGAAGCTATCATTGTCATAGCGTTATGTGGCCAGTGATCGCACTGAAAAGTTGCAGTATATTGTAGGCGCAGAGTATTCGCCGCCTCCTTCGGTGTCCATATGGGTCCATCCGCTGTTTGAAGGGGAGGAATTGCCCGTTACTTCTTAGGTAGACGGTTGAGGTGTTGTTACAGAAACTTGTGATTTTAGGCCATATGCACTGCCCAATTCTGCTGGTACGCCAATCTATCCTTGCGAACAAGCTGAGTAGAGTGGTTACGTTCGGCCGCATAAGCCATCCAGTTCTCGGTGTTCGGGAGATTTTGTATATATAGGTTGATTTGCGCACCGCTATACACTTGTGTGTTCTGCTTGATATAGCCTTCCGGGATGCGGCATGTGTACCCAGGTACTTGGCATTTCCTTGCACAGCATTTTATTAACAGACCTACGCTAGAGAAATTCAGTGCGAGTAGCTCTTCGTCCGTGTTTCCCAGACATACTTGTAGGTGGTCTAGCTGAAATGACAAGTTTGATATCATCTGCAAACAAAAATCGAGCGTCCATGTTTAATGGGGCAGCATATGCTTTTTATGCGTATTCCGAAAAGTAATGGTCCCAGTACACTGTCCTGAATTACATCGCTGGTTATTCCTTATGGCATAGAGTGTTGCTTACATATTCTGACTCTTTGGTTTCGACGGTTTAGGTATGAGTTACACCAGCTTAGCAGAGAGTTTTCAATGTTACATTACTCTAACATGACCAGCAGTGGCTTATGTGGCACCTGGTCGAACGCATTTTGCATGTCCAAGAGAATTAGGATGAGCGTCGTTTCTCTGTCAATCATAGTCGTAACATGATCGCAGGAATGTGGCTGGCAGTAAACACAGGAGTGCCCCGAGAACAAAACATGTTATCTGGGATTGACCAGGTCCAGTCGTATAAGAAAAGGAGCAAAGTTCTCCTTGACTATTATTTCTACCACTATAGAAGCAGCAAATGTGTGATTCATCGAGCTGCAATTTGCCATTTCATTTCCCGGGCAACCTTTGTACTTAGGCATTATGAGGGACTTCTTCCACTGGGATGGGAAGCAGCCAGTTGTTGGCGAAGGTTTATAGGTGTTTGTTAACAACAGAGATATTTTTTCACCGAGCCTGGGGGATCCCAGCTAGGCCAGATGGGCAGATGTTTCTATGGGCGAGATGACGTTCTGCACCTCGGTCAATGTCAAGGAATATTGCAAATCAGTTCGTTTGTTCTTCTTCGAAGTGAGGTGTGAGACAGCTGAGTGTCAAAGACAAACGAGGAAGCAAAGTTAGAGTTGATTGATTCGCATATACTGGAGATATTGCAAGTGAATGAATCATCCTCTAATGTCAGCGTTCCAATTTCCTGACGAGGTTTAGGGATTCTACTTTTGAGTAACTGAATTAGTGTGCGTACTTTTTCAGGATTTGTGAGTGTCCGAGTTTCGTCATTGATTTTGGCTGTCTGTATAGACGTTGTAGTTACAATATAGCCTCATATATTTGTAGCAGTGTAGCGCGAGTGTTGCTCTTGTGCTAGGATGCCGCAAGTTGCATGAGTGTGGTTTCCGCTTTTTTGAGGGAGTTGTGATAACCACTATGCTTATAGGTACTGTTACTTACGACAGGTGCCATTACATCTACGCAAGGGACCATATTTTTGATAAATTCATTTGCAGCTGCAGCAGTTATACCTTGAGAATGGCGTGTTCCAGTTCATGGTGCTAATAAATTAAGTAACTGCGTTCTAATCCCCTTGTTGGAGGTTCAGGTTTGGTAGTAACGTGGCATTTGATTGTTTAGGGGATTCAACAGTCACGTTCCAAAGTATGGTGTTGTAATCACAAACCAGCAGAAGAATATCAACGGACGCCTATGCGAAAGGGATCCCTATGGTTAATATACGCTTTAGAACTGTGGTACTTTTGGTGGGATCTCGAAAATGTTGAATCCAACCATTTGGATGGATACAGGAGATTATTTCCACATGCCAAGCAGCGGCCCTGGGTGTAGGCAGCAACCTGTTAACATATGGTAGGTTGAAATCTCCGCACATAAGTCTGCACTTGCAAGTGGTACTGGAAGCAGCATTGGCCACAACAAATGGGTTTTTGTTTTTACATTGAGTGGCTCAGGACGGTCAATAGCTACAACCCACTAGAAGATCAGTGGATAGGATCGCCAGCCACAGTGTACCTTCAAGGTGACTGAGCGCACCTTATTCATGCAGGATTGCAGGATGGCCATTGCGAAGGCAGATGCCACGTCTGAGTGAACGCTTTTGGAGGGAAAATTGATAGCCTAAGATATTACGCTGAGAAGCACTAATTCCTGATGTACACCACGTTTTAGTTTTAAAAGCCATATCACGGAATTTCGTAAACACAAGCGTTGAAAGTAATTGTAATTTAGATCGAAGGGAACAAATGTTAATAATGACAGGATTGAGAGTGACTGTTAGATTGGAATAAAAGTTGTGAGCAAGTGCATACTCTTCGGCACTGTATCTCAAGCCGTGAGTCCTGAGGAAGCTGAGCCACAAAGAGCTCCGCATTGTACTGGATTGAGTGCACTAGGTACTCCAGTAACTGAATTATTCTCTGGCTCATCATAACACGTTGTGGCGAATCGATTGGTGAGAGAGGACGTGGGGGAATACAATAGCCTAAAAAGGACGTACATTTATAGTATACTGAGTTGGGGAATACTAAAGTCCAAAAAGATGTTTCTAATCGGATTATGCTGTTTCCGGTTTAATCATGAAAAGAGTGGTGGATGGACTATTAGTTGCTGGAAACACTTCAAATATTGTGCTGCAATACATAGGATAGGTAAAAAGGCGCAGCAAAGCCACGTCAGCTGCGCCAACAATAAGAGATGGGCATCGTGACGTATGGATAACAGTTGGCTATTGTGCCACCAAAAGGCTACGTAATGCTTCAGAAAGGAAATCGTGGTTACAGGGGAGGCTAAGCAGGATGGGGAGGATCAAATAAACTCACAACCCAAGCGACATTGAGATCGGCTACCATCCACACCAACAAGTGTGTCCAGCCAAACGGGTTCGCCCATGGGCCCCAAACAGAGAGCCTAGAGGCTCCAACCGAAGTCAACTTCGAAGTAAAGGCCTGCATCCCTCTTGAACATGTCGGCGGTTGACCTCCCTTCTCTTTCTCCCATCAACACATTCCGCGCGCAAACTACACACGTCGCGGGAGTCGGTGGACTGGAAAGCGCGACAAGTGCCTCAGCCTTCGGAGCCCGGTTGGTGAAATAAAGATGGTGAGTGGTTCACTTCCTTTTTATTTTACCAATAACAAAGCGTCGAACATATTCATCTTTCACGCGGTGTTCCCCCAAATTTATGCTAAACTGCGTAGGCACCGGCGATCGAATGTAAGTAACCTCTTTATGTCTGCTCATCTAATGGGATAGGTTTCACATCAGTACAATATGGTCGACCGTATGGCTACCTTGTGCACTCTATCCTTGACAACAGGTGGCCGCAAAGACAAGGATTTGTTTGCAACCTGGAAGTCGCAGTGTCGAGTCTGCATAGGGGACTGGACGACTCTGACAGTATCCTTAGGTCCAATACGACGGTTGGTGTAGCATGGCAGCGAAGCATAGGTAAGGCGTACCGGAGTAATGCTGATACCTATTTTTACACTCTACTCGTCAGCAGAGTGTGATGTCGCGCCGGCACCACAGGTGGCGTAGTTCAGCTAAACCATCTCGAACGATTGATACTTTGCAGGTTGGTGAGCTGTCACCGATGAGAGCAATATCGGTGGTTAACTCCAAGTCAAGCAGTTGTTCCCCCGGGAGTAGCTCCACACTTTATAGAGTGTGTCTAGTGAAGGTGATTTCCATGACCGACAAACGCAAATTTGAAGAGGAAGAAGATGACAGCGAGCATCCCCGGCTTACACCGCTGGAGATGTTAAAGGGTTGCGACAGCTTGCCATAAGCCCTCAATCTTCCAGAGCTGCGCGTAGAAAGCGCTCGGGGAATATTTACATATTTTTTGGCACACCTTTACTTAGCAGACAGTCCTAAAGACCAAATTCATTCACCAAATCAAAGACACCTTTGATGCCAAGCACCACGACAGCAGTGGGCCGTCAGTGCATGTGATGGTGCTCCAACATTTGATGTACTATGAAGATGTGATCAATACAGGCGCGATGTCGTGGAAACCCGACTTGCTCCTCATGAATCTGGCTTCTCCTGGTGTCAGCTAGTCTATTGAGGACGACAGAGGCAACCAATTTGGAGACAATTGAGATACAACTGATTCCCTTATGATCGCCGCATTCCAAACATGGGCCGCTCCAATAATGGAGCGGCTCCCACAGTTTCACTACTAACTTCTGGAAATCATCTACGAGAGCAGGTCTCACGAAGTTGAAGTGGGCTGGATGAGGGTTATCTAGTCCAGCGGCCTTATTCAGCTCCAACAGTCCGATCTCACGTTCGAATTCTGAGAGAAAAGTCGAATCCAAATAGAAGAACCCAGAGAGCAAAGTGATCCCTGGGTAGCGAGAAATCTAGCAATTCTGATAGATCACGTTGTCTTTCAAAGTGTTCAACCCAATGCTCCAAGTGTTTTGCCAAGTTATGGATAGACTGCCAACCCTCTTCATCTAACTAATCAACACCAGGTCTTCTGCTGTACATTTCCCGTGTCAGACGGAATAACTTCCGATGGCTACCAATGGTAGTGACCACTTTCATCCCTGATGCAGGATGAGACCACCACGATTCGCGATATCCTTTCAGGTAAGCAAGGAGCTTCGACCAGAAATCTTATTGAGTCTTGTTGTGTTCGCTCCCAGCCGGAATTTACTGGGAGGCCTCGAAAAGTTCCAAAGATTGTGTAGAGACGCAATGTCCAGGTTGACTGTTAGATTTAACATATATGAGAATTTATTTGCTGCTAATAAGATCTGGTGAACATGTGACTTGTAAACTTCAACAAAATTTACTGAGGGCTCACACGACCAGAACGCCAGCGTACATCAATACACATACAGAACATGTGGATTCACCAGATTGCGGTTGAACATGGCTCACAGCTTCGTCACGGGCATCCGCTAATAAGCACTCGCAGATAAGCACATACGTGTGAATGGTTAGTACCCGAACGTGTGCTCAAAACGAGGGAGAGATATAGACACAGCACCTCCAGCGACAGCTGATCACGATGTAAACGGTTTGCATCCATGCATGCTCCAAGGCTCGTGAGCGCCATGACGCTGTCCGGAGGGTGCTGTATCGGAAGTTCGGGCTCATGGGAAATAGGCTAGCATCCTCAGACGGATGAAGTAGCCGCTCACCGTTATCATAACGGCAGCCTACATCATGCTGGACGCCCAGATGCAGCTCATCACTGGACAAATTCACAACTTGAGCGTTCAGATCTTCAGCAAGCTCTACAGTATTAGTGCTTCTTCTGTGACGAAGGAAATCGTTTAGTTGGCGATAGAAATTGCCCTTCACCATGTTAATGGTACGGTAGGTGGGCGCATATACAGCAATGAAAAACTGGCATCTATTAGTTCATCGCGAATTTGAAGCCTTGAACGAGCCAACCACTCCGACTGCCTGGGTCCGCTACTGACTTGCATCCAATTAACCGCAGTAGCTAATGCTCGGGGGTTCACGGCACCACCTACACCCGATTGGTCGGCAATCGAAGCTGCATGAACTCCGGATAGACGCAGTGAAGAAGCAGCGCTAGTATCACCTGATGGGTATCGTAAAACTAACACCGAGCTCGAGTATTGCAGACTGGTTTGCCATAAGTAGCAGACAGATAGAGAGGATCTCTAACGTTCGGTCAAGTGTTGCCAGTTGAATGATCTGTAAGAATATGCGAACGTTGAGGCACACCAGTCTGTGGTGGGATCGAGGGTACCAACTAGAAACTGATGATGTGCGTTCGGTTGGACATGGGTGTTATAATTAAGGGAACGCCGCCTCTTGATATGATTGGGTAATTGCCTGATAAGATTGTCGCTGGCACGGTTGGAGCACGCCTACGATGACGACTTGTAACGCTGGCCAATCGAACGGAGTGGCACTGACCTGATGACGCTAGCTTAGCCGGTGAGACGGAAAATTGAGCGAGCGTGTGAACGATCCTAGCCGCACGTGTTCAGATAGACACTGAGCCCTCGGAACGGCGCACACGAGAGGGGGTTACGATAGACGCGCGCTACTGACTTAGACATGAAGCCTGACCAGCCAACGACTCACAAGCAACCACGTGACCCGACCGACTCCCAACTGAGGCGAAGAGAAAGAAAAGGCAAGTGATCTTCTATAAGCTCTTTTACGACCAACAAAGGGCGAATCACAGCCAATGCTGTTGGTCATTAAGTAAGGGGAAAGTTCCACCATGACGAGGTGGTAGTTTGTAAAAGGCCATTGTCAAAAGGTGCGTAGTTGGGCCGCGTCTCGGAGTGGCTGATCACTGCTACGTTGTGGGGAGGAATTGGACCCCACTTCCCACAGCCATTCTGCCGGGGTTTCTGGCGCGTTTTGCGGGGATTTTTGACGGGCCCGCAACAATGTGTTTGCCCACAGAGCCGGAGTGAATCTCCGCGTTTGCTCATTCAAGGACGTCCTTTTTGCTTTAAGTACAGCTGTTCCGCAGTGAGCAGCCTCAATATAGTCAGTTCTTGGAGGAAAATGAATCCGAGCGGCGCGGAAGCACCAAATTGCACGTTTCTTGCTTCCATGGCCGATTCCGAATCAACCAATAGCATACACCATGGAGTACAAGCGTTCTTTGAACCCACATTCTCTTGGATAGCTTTGCATGCACAGAGGGAACGCGTTTTGGGAGTAGTAGCAATGTTCGATATTCAAACACAGCAGTGAATGGCTACACTGAAGCCACATCCGTGGCAGTACACACGTGGTACCTCTGGGCATGGTGGCGATTAAGCACGTTATACATGGACCACCCACTCTTTCAAGTAGGTGAGATTACCAATGCACGCAATGGGTCCGCGCGACGCGTGTTGGAGTTGGCCACCACTGGCTGCACTGAAATGCTGAAGGGGGGCACGCGTTTGTCGTACTGCACTACTGAAGCTGGGACAAAGTGGTGTAGATGGCTGGTTCCCTGGGCCCGATAATGGCAGTTGACACAAAGCCCTGAACGCTGTTCTCCACAGTTAATAACTGTGGCGTTTCGTGAGCATATGGGAATGGAGGCGGATTAACTCCATGGTTTCCGATACCACACACTCCACAAGGCAATGGACGTGGCCTTCTTTAAGACACCTTCGCGCTCCGCTATTCTTCCGTTTTGATTCGGTTGATACCAGCCTCTATATCCAATTGCGGCAGCTTTTTGGGTTTATGTTTGTCATAGCTGGAAGGTGTTTCAGTGCATCTCCCTCTTCATACATCCTCAGTAGTTGGCTTCATATATCCGCCGTGCCTTGTAGAGGTGCCATTGCTTGCCGTTACGAGTCTGACAACCTAATAGTTACCCAGTAAGGTTACATATTTAGTTGTCTCCCCGGCAGGTTGCGTGCTCCTCGACACATTTGATGGTTACGTTCGCATGAGCGTATCTTTGGGGTCAACCTCACTTCCAGGTCCCAGTCCTACGCTGGTCGTCACCACTTCATTTAAGTCGACGGAGCG